ACTCGCGCCCGTGCGGCCCAGTCCCGCCTCCCGGGGCAACGGCGCCGCGTCCTTCCTCCGCAGCCAATCAGTGATGACTGCGGTTACTGTTACTTTTTATTATCGCAGTAAGTACCTCCTTTCTTTAATTCTCTTTAATTCTTTAATTTCGCTTTAATTCTTCCCAAGACTGCTTGCAAAGCTCTTCTTGTATATGTTGTATCATTTTTTAAATGAAGGTTGTATTTTTATATTTTAACCTGAATGCAAATTTAATATAATATATATTAATTGTAGCAAATTTTGATGTCAGAGAAGTCTAAAAAAAAAACTTCATGTCACCTAGATCCCTTCACCTGGAGTGAACAAATTGTAATATTTCTCTAGTTCCGTCTAGTCATTTTTCTGATATATTCTCTTACAAATGTTAATTTTAGTACCTTCTGAACTATTTTGTACCCTTAACACACTGAATTTTGAGCATTTTCCCATTAAAAATATTTCATAAGCCTGATTTTCAAATGCTTCCTAGTGTTCCACTTAAATCGTGTACCACAATTTAACCATGCTCCTTTTGATGGCTTGCTATCTTATTTTCCATGTGGAAGATTTATAAACCACACTCGTATATAAATTCCAGCTTCGTTCTCTGCCAGTTTATCCAGGGTAAAAGCCAAGGGGTGAAATTAGTGGGCCAAAGAGTGAGCTATTTGACTCAAGACCTGGCTGACTTTCCACTTGACCTTGCCTAGCTGCCTCTGAATGTCAGTTCCAGGCCAGGGCATGGCTGGAGAGAGAAGACACCCACCTTGCCAGTCTTTTGTGGACACAGTCTTCAAAGAGGTGCTGGCCGCCGGCAGCCACCTGCACTCACTCCTCAGGCAGGTCTGGGACAGAGGCAGCTTCACTTAGGCCTTTACAGTTTTCACTTCTATAGAATGGGAATTGGGTCACGAGGGTGTGAGTACTTGGAGAGGGTAACCTAGCCGTCCCCTCAATTGTATGTACCCCCTTATGCCAAAGGATGCACTTTTTGTGACCAGCTGAAAATTTCTAGGGCATAAGGCATGAGGGGAAAGGAGGCAGCATTTCTTTAAAGTACCTCCATGAACTCTCCCCAATCAGCTAGAGGCAGGAGCTGCGTTAATCTTGACTAATGGCTGCAGAAATTGGCCTGGGCCCCTCTACCCCTCCCCGACCTCTTCCAAACACATCCAGGGATCCGCGTCCACTCCTCTGCGTCACCTCATCGGTCTCTCTTCCCTCGCTGCCAGAGTTGCCCCTTCCCAGGGCCCTGAACACATGAGTGGAGTGTCTGCTGCAGGTGTGATTGACACCATGTCTTAAATTCCCAGGTACATGGGAATAAGGTGCACCATGATTTCAGAAATGATGAAACATGCATTTGAAGAAATGCGTAATTTATTTGTATCTCACTTTATCTCAAATAGGATATAGAGTGGCAATGCATAAAAATAGAACAAAATAACTAAGAGACTTTTTAAAGTAAGAAAAATGACAGCATACTGGGCTTCTGATCCAGATGATGCTATGATTCACACTCTGAGGTACCCTCTCTGCTACAAATGCAGAACAATGATAAACTACACAAAGAAAGTATTCAAAGGATCTGGCTGGGAGCAGAAACCAAATGAACTCCACCATGGCCCAGAAACACAAGCTGCTGAGTATTGGAAAGGCCACAGGCCTACTGGGCGGTGGTTCCCGAGGCATAGTGGGGACATGAGGCTGGGAACAGAGCCAGGCTTCCTGATTGAAACCGGGGGAGAGAGGCCTCACCTCTGTATCAGAAAGGAGTCTGAAAAATCTGCTTCTGCGTTGCACGGGCCAACAGCTTTTGTGAAGGTGTGGCCCTTGGACAAGAGAGAACACATACAGTCTGACGAACCTCCTGCCCCATGGCTTGACAAGCAGACCGCAAAGGGCCAGCAAGTGTGAACCACCACCACCAATGTAACACGTGTTCTGTGCTGCAGATCAGGCATCACTGGTGCAGCCCCAAACTACTAGGTAGGGGTGCAGGAGAGTCTACAGAGATAGAAAGTAAAAGAGCCTTTTACTCAAAAATGAACCTAAAAATCAAAACGCTGAAACCCGTGAAGATATACAATGCTAAGAATAATGGCCACTAAAATCAATAGTCATGATATGAATTCACTCCAGATGAGATTAAAACAATAGAACAGTCTGGGAATTAAAAAAAACACTTTAAGCATATTTAGGATCTTCAATGAGAATAATGAAGAAATAACATTTGTGAAAAGAACAGACATTGTGGGAAGGGGGCCTGCAGAACTGTAACAAGATGAGATGGCTATCAAAAAGCACTTTTAAAAGGAAATATAATAAACTCCCAGTTCCAGGAAGATGGAGGAGGTGCAGTCTTCTCTATTCTTCCAGCAAAGCACACTGAAAACAAACAAACGAACAAAAAAGACTCTAAAAGGTGGCGAAGGATGATTGAATTAAACATGGCGGAGTGAGAGACGTCCCCAGATCTCTCTCCCTGAAACAACACTAAGCCGAACATCTAAAACAACAAAAAACACCCAAACTGCACACCAGCACGTCTGAGCGTGGGATCTGCGCAGAAGAGCTACCACAGGTCAGAACCCCGGGTGTCGGGCGGGAAAGGGGAGAAGGAATGGCAAGTTCCCTGAACAGCCCTGCCTGGGACTGCTGTGAGCCCCCCACGTTGGGCAGAAGGACCCAGTCATCGGGGCGGAAGACGGAGGAATGGAGATGGCAGAAAAGCAGAGACGGCAGAGAAACAACAGTTGATTTTTACCCGTCGCGGTTGCAAAACCAAGGCTGAGCTGCAGCCCCCAACCCCCAACTCAAAGGACCCCTCCCCCTATACCTTCTGAGACCGATCACCACGGAGCCCCAGGGGAATCTGAGCAAACGCTACCGAAACTGTGGCTAACATTGACAGGAACTGAGACTGAGGGTAGTGAGCATGATTAAACGTCTATGAGGGAAAAAAAGACATTACTAAGACTTTATATAAAGCAGGGATCCAAGAGGCTTAGACGCCACCTACTGGAAACCAAAAGAAAAGCACCTTCTTTGCAACAGGCTAAAGGGAGACCT